CTTATCGGCTCCACCTCCTCCGGCCTCGCCTCCAGTCTACAGTCCCCCACCTCGCTTTTTCCGTCCATCCAATGAGTGGCGCACCCGAGACAATCGTCCCATCTGCTTCGCGTGTGGCATCGCTGGCCACATTGCACGCTTCTGCCGCCGCCGTCCCACGCCTGCGCAAGCATACTTCGGAGCTCCTACCTACGCACCGCAGCAGACCACCACGTCTGCATATGAACAGAGGCACTCCGACTCGGATCGCCACCCATCGACTGCTCGTTTCCCATCACCTCGTCGCCGATCGCCATCGCCTATGCGTCGTCGACCACCTCTTGAGGAGGGAAACTAATCAGTGCAGTTCCGGAGGCAAGAACTGCAACTTGTGCGCAATTCCCAAGGCCTCCATTTTCGCCGCAAAATGTTGTTGATGTCGATGTTGAGGGAGTCGCCACATTAGCGTTAATTGATACCGGGGCCACCGTTTCTGTGATGAACGCAAACTTTTGTAGGAAACTGAAGAAAGTGACCACATCTCTCAGTGGCTTGGTGCTGTCCACGGCTAGCGCGCAACGCATTCATCCCTCGGCTGTGTGTACGGCGCGCGTCGTCATCCGAGACGTTTTGTACGTCGTACAGTTTTTTGTTCTACCATCTTGCTCTCATGACCTTATCCTGGGTTGGGATTTCTTATCACGTCATGAAGCTATCATCGATTGTTCCCGTGCCGAAGTGTCCCTTGTGCCAACATGTGAATTTCCACCACCCGACCGCTCTCCTCTGCTCTGCAAAGTCATCGCTGATGACGACATCACCTTGCCTCCTGAAGCTTCGGTCCCTATTAGCCTTTCATGTCTGGCGCAACCTGACGGCACGGTGGTGTTTACGCCATCTCCGGTTTTTACTGAACGCAAGGGCATCGTTCTCCCATTTGCTGTTCTTACAATTGCGTCTGGTTTAACCGTAATGCTGGTCACCAACCACTGCAACTACCCCATTGGCTTACTTCGTGGTGAAACGTTAGGATATGTGCAACCTGTCGACCATATCGATGATATTATTCTTCCCGACGAAACGCCATGTCACATTGCTGCAATCACTCATGCGTCTGAGCCATCAAGTTCGTCAGCCTTCGACAATGCTATTGACGCAGACCTTCCCCTCTCGCATCGCCGCCAACTTGTTGCTCTCCTTAACAAGTTTCGTTCTTTTTTCGACTTTCAAGAACCTGCTTTGGGCCGCACCACGACTATCGCTCATACTATTGACACCGGCTCACATTCGCCTCTGCGACAGCGTCCTTACCGCGTTTCCGCCGAAGAGCGCCGCGTCATTACGGAGCAAGTAGATGACATGCTTAAACGTGGAGTCATACAGCCTTCTCAAAGCGCTTGGTCATCACCTGTGGTTCTGGTCAAGAAAAAGATGGCACCGTACGATTTTGTGTGGACTATCGCCGCTTAAACAATATTACGAAAAAAGATGTCTACCCGCTACCACGAATAGACGATGCTCTTGACTGTTTACAAGGCGCCGAGTACTTTACATCTTTGGATCTGCGTTGTGGGTATTGGCAGGTGCCAATGGCTGAATGTGATCGCCCTAAAACAGCCTTTGTAACGCCGGATGGCCTATATGAGTTCAAAGTCATGCCATTTGGGCTCTGCAACGCGCCTGCCACATTTGAGCGCATGATCGACACCATCTTGCGTGCCCACAAGTGGAAAACCTGCTTATGTTACCTGGACGACATCGTAGTCTTTTCATTTGATTTCCCGACACATCTTGCTCGCCTCCACGAGATTCTGACGTGTCTAACTTCTGCAGGCCTACAACTTAACTCCAAGAAGTGCCACTTCGCAGCACGAAAACTAACTATCTTGGGACATGTCATCACCAGAGACGGTGTTCTTCCGGATCCCGATAAGCTTCGAGCTGTCGCTGAAAGCCCTAAGAAGTTTCGTTGGTCTCTGCTCCTACTTTCGTCGCTTCGTGCGCAACTTCGCGTCCATCATCGCACCTCTCACGAGTCTGCTTTCCAACAGCAAAGGCATATCTGCATGGTCACCTGCATGTGACGACGCATTTCGCCAGCTCCGCCGCCTGCTGACTTCACCACCTATTCTTCGTCACTTCGACCCTGCTGCGGCCACAGAAATTCACACCGATGCAAGTGGCATCGGTCTTGGTGCAGTTTTGGCACAACGGAAAGGCACCCAAGCTGAATACGTAGTCGCCTATGCAAGTCGCGCTCTCAAGAAGGCTGAATTGAATTACTCCGTGACAGAGAAGGAGTGTTTGGCCATAATCTGGGCGTTGACGAAGTTTCGCCCGTACCTTTACGGCCGTCCTTTCAACGTGGTCACAGACCACCACGCTCTATGTTGGCTGTCCACCTTGAAAGACCCGTCCGGACGCCTGGGGCGTTGGGCACTTCGATTGCAAGAATACGACATCCGTGTCGTATATCGTTCCGGTCGCAAGCATGCGGATGCCGATGCACTTTCGCGATCGCCATTAACACCAGATGTGGCTTCTCTGTCTCCCCCTTTTACCACCTTGTCACCGCTCGACACGACTGACATGCTTTCGGAGCAGCGTAAAGACCCACACCTTGCCTTGTTAGTCGACTACCTTACCGATCCGTCTGCTGTCCCTTCCACGAGAGCGCTACGCCGGCAAGCAGCCCACTTTTCCTTACGAGACAACATTCTGTACCGCCGTAACTACATGCCTGGTGGTCGGAAGTGGCTCCTTGCTGTCCCAACTCATATGCGCTCTGACATCTGCATGAATTTCCATGCAGAACCCCAAAGTGCTCACGCAGGTGTCCTGAAAACCTACGAAAGGCTGCGCCAGCGCTATTACTGGCGAGGAATGTATCGCTTTGTGCAGAAATACGTTCAGTCTTGCACCACTTGCCAACAGAACAAGATACCTCCGCGGCACCTTACTGGCATGTTACAGCCGCTCCCGTGCCCGGCTCGCCCATTCGACCACGTGGGTATAGACCTCTATGGCCCCCTCCCATATAGTATCTCTGGAAACCGGTGGATTATTGTCGGAGTCGATCATCTGACACGCTACGCTGAGACTGCAGCTCTACCGGCAGCGACCTCCCACGAAGTTGCACTCTTCATTCTCCGCAGCTTCACTCTACGCCATGGTGCTCCGCGGGAATTACTCAGTGATAGGGGTCGAGTGTTCCTGTCGGAGGTCATCCAAGCTATCCTCGCTGAATGCAACATTATCCACCGGAAATCTACCGCATACCATCCACAGACAAATGGTCTTACTGAGCGGTTCAACCGCACACTTGGCGACATGCTGAGGATGTACACCTCCTCTGACCACACTAACTGGGACGCTGTATTGCCCTTTGTTACCTTCGCTTATAACACCGCGACGCAAGCGACTACCGGTTTTTCCCCGTTCTTTCTATTGTACGGCCGCGAACCTTCCCAACCACTCGACACTATACTACCGTATCGCCCTGATGCATCTGAGTGCTCCCCGCTTTCGGAAGTCGCCAGATACGCTGAAGACTGCCGTCAGTTGGCTCGGTCTCTGACAAGTGAGGCTCAAGGCCTACAAAAGACTCGACACGACGACACTCACCGCATAGCTCCTACATTTCGTGCTGGCTCCCTTGTGTGGCTTTGGGTGCCCCCGCACGTTCCTGGCCTGTCTTCTAAACTTCTGGCCCGGTACCATGGTCCCTACCGTGTCATTGACGCGACCTCCCCGGTGAATTACGTCATCGAGCCATTAACACAATCACCAGATTTGCGCCGTCGAGGACGCGAGACCGTACACGTCGACCGTCTCAAGCCCTACTACGACCCCCTCATTGTGCCTACTCCCTGAGTCGCCAGGATGGCTACCCTTCACCCCGGGGGTATTGTAGTGGAGCATATGCACTAACGCGTATGCGCCTTCGGAAGACAACGAAAAGCCCGTGCTCTGATTGCGCGAGAACCTGTGCCGCCTTTGCCAGACTTGCTGTTCGCCCATTTTCCGTCGCGACCTCGTTGCGACTGTTTGATTAAAACCTATCGTTCAAAAAACCACACTCATTTTGAAAAAGAGTTACAGAGGGAACGCTGACACCAAGATCACGAGCTTTCTGTACGTAGAGCCTCAGCCAGTTCCTGTGCCACCTTGTCTTTGTTCTTCCCCAAAATGCTTGCGTTGCCTAGCAGTGGTTTACCCCTGCAAGCCTCGAAGTGATAAGACCTCGGCCCCGTCCTTCAATAGACAGCGTGGGCTATGCTAGTCAGTCATTATTACACCGGCCAGTCTGGCCGATGTAAGTCCGGCCGCAGCTCAACGGAATCTTTTAAATTTAACCAGTTGAACATTTAATAAAACGAGCTTTGTTCGTGTGTTCTTTCTCACAATCTCTTTCTCATAGCAGACGACAATCTTGTGTCATCTGCTAGACTATTTATCTTGTGCAAGCTTAGAAAGGGAACTAAACACTGCGAAGAGGTACAAAACACCTATTTTTTGTTGTTGTTCATCTTTCTTCATTGTGTTCATTTTTTTTGGTTGGTTTCCGCAAGAAAAGTTTATCTGAGTTTACACACTAGCCTATTGCCAAGTTTTTCTTACGTGACCAGACGCTCAGGATACGGTACATAATGCAGTGATTGTAGGGTACAGTAGGAACCGATACCTGTTTTGCAATACATGCTTTTTTTGCAATGAACCTTAGTTTATCCACACATTTCCTACGCTCTTGGGGGCTTCGCGTTTAATTTAACACTAAACAAGTGAAAAAAATCCAAATGAGTAACTCGTATGCGTCGCTTTTAGAAACTATGTGTGATAGATTTATCGCCCACGACGACACCGAATTTTCTACGATACAAGCTCAATGTATATAGTTAATGCGCTTACGTGGACACGTCATTCTTATAAAATTATGGCCACAGGGCACAAGGTGAGTCGGCGGGAATACAACGATACCAGCTCTTATCATCATTACGAATATATTGATGAAATGGGCAAACCTGGTACCACGCCGAGGCCTTCAAGTTCTCCTGCAGTTGGCTGACAGTGTGAGAGAAGAATTCCTCGCGCGTCTTGCGAATCACGTGCTCCACTTGGCTCTCGAGAACCATACACACGTCCGTGGGGTCGCTCTTCTCTTGCACGAACATGCTGAACTTGGACACTGCACCGGAGAGGGCTTCGCTCTCGCGTTCGATGCGGTACGACTTCAGCAGTGCCCGAATCTTCATCGCGTACCTGCATGCACGGAGGCGCTGCCAACAACACTGCCACCACACGTGATATACCTTCGACTACACCGTACTGTTCCATGACAGCAAAGACGCCGCAAGAGGAAGCTTAAGGGCGACAGAAAATTAAACAATGTGAGACACGAGAGAAAATTGGGGAATGTGCGGAAATAATATGTATTGGTTCATATCACCCAAAACAGGCGGTAAATAAAGAGAAAGGTGGTCGTCCTTCCATGCGCCTTCGATAATCAGCTGCATACAAACTGTGCTGTAGTTTCAAGTAGATTGGCATGCTTTTGTTATTAGCCATCGTTTGTTTTACATAGATAAGTAGACAAGCACACGTATGAGGTGGGCTCAGTTCGGAATAGTGAGTCCACACTGGGTACCAAATGGACTTTGGCTTTCTATGACTAATACTGGTACGCAGAAGATCGTTCGCAAATACGCCCGCAAATAGGCTCTCGAAAAGCACGTTGGTGATTCGGCTCCGTTTTACACCGGTGAGTCAGTGGCAGCAAGACGGCGACCTGCTTGCAAAAACCTCCAATCAGCAATATAAATTGTCCATAAGCGAAGGTGTCCTCGTGAATTATGGTTCACGCTCGGATAACTCCTATTTTGCGGGTAATCATCGGAGAGTCAAATCAGCGTGAAAGATCATTTATCAAAGAAGAGCGTTGGTAATTCGGGCACCGAAGCGGTCCACGTAATAATTTCTTGCTTTCAATTATTTTTTTTCGTTTCCGTCGTGATATATGCGGCAAGCACCGCAGTGTTCCCGGTCATTCGAGACCAAGAAGAATAGGGAGTGCACTAGTATGTATTATGTATTTTTTGCAATAACCATGGCGCGTTTTTTTTTCATAGGCATAATAAACGGCGGCAGTATCACCACAGCGAAACGCTACGCAGACATTTTCTGAGTATCACCTTCGGTAGGAAGTCCTGGCTTCTTTCAAGAAAGCTTCTCGTCCTTCCAGCAGCAACCGCGGATCAGGTAACGTGTTCTCTACAACGTCCAGGTACTCGGTGCTCAGCTCAACCTGGTTAGACAAACCGCAAATTATTTATACTTTTAAGTAGTTCACAGTTGTCTGCGTTCACACTAGTGAACTGTGACGTAAGGAAATGGGAGCGATTGGTATGCTCTCAGATGTCCGGTTCCTATCATGAGTGGATGAATTAAAGAGACACTAAAGTCGAATGCCAATTTACGTCAAAGTGAAATCTCAATGTATGACAACGTCTAAAACGACAAAAATTATCAATAGAAGTGCCCTATTTATCAAGATATCAAGGCAAATGCACGAGAATTCATTCGCTACGCGAAGAACATTCGCAAAATGATCCCGATTACGTGAAAGGTACTACCTAGTAATCAAATTAGCTGCTTTTTTTATCTCTGATTCATCAAAAAAAAGAACCGCCGGACGTTATACTGTAGAGAACAACGCGAGTTGCTGAAAAGTCAAGTTTTCACTTGGTTAAACTGGACAGGTCATGTCATCTAGCGTGGCCCTGTTTAACTATGCAAGTCTACCATCTCGGAGGCCATGACAGGCAATCTTTCAATGGTCCTTGCAGCTGCTGTGTATCCCGTTACTTTCGTTCTGCCGGGCAACGTTGTGCATGGCCGCTGTGACGTGCAACGATCCGCTTTAGGCGGGTTATTTGAAGTGCGCTCATTCGTTGTGGACCTCTAAATCATGATTTATTTCAAAATAAGGACTTCCTTGGCACCAAAGTAACCCTACGAGGTTTCTAGGCTGCTATTTCAAAAATCAACGTCGACTTGAAAGTTGCTTTTGGTGTCCCTACAAGACAGTCTAATGTGGCTTTGGGACGTAAACCCCACAAATCAATCAAGACAGTCTAATGCGATGGCCATTTACAGGGCGCTTTTTCATCCCACAACCATGGTTAGGCTACCTTATCACGCGCGTTCAGATCAAGCTGCAACATTATTTAATTTTCGTGAAATCGACAGTCAGTGACCAGATATACTACTGAAGCAATCTTCACAACAATTCCGGGGTACATTTCTAGTTAACCAGTACCCACAGCTAAAGAGTAAGCACTTTTTTTAATTAACCAGTATCAGTTTCTTAGAATATACCCCATTGATGTTAACAGTGATGGAAACAAGTGCAATGAGACGCATTAAAATGTCACCTCAAAAACACTCCCATATGACATGACGAAAAGAACGACCCAGTCGTTCACGACTCTTACGCCACCCATATAAAAGCGCCTTTGAGCTTTGTTTAGTGAAAGACCTCTAAGGCGGCTTACTTTTTCTTGTGGTGTGCGAACGGCGAGACTTCAAGCGCGAGGTGCTTACCTTCTTGCAGTTCCTGTACAGCTGGCCCAGGACCTTTCGCGAGCAGTACGTGTTCTTGGCGCCCTGCTTCTCCATGAAGTCCGGGTACATGGGTGGCTTCTCGCCCAGTTTTGGAACCCTTTCAAGTCGCCGCACTTTGCGAAGTCCAGGTTGACCGAGCACTTGCGCGCCAGATCGCGGCAGCGGCGCGAATTGATGCCGGCGTCCAGCAAGTCCGCCCACACGAGGTGCGCATTCGCTATGAGGCCGATCTTGTCCCCCATGATGTACTTGCAGAAGAAGTCAATCATGTCCTGCACCAGTAGGACAGTCTTTTTTTCGTCGAGCATGCTCTAGACCAATCACAGTTCACGCATCATTTCAGACAAATGTTCGGGTAAGCCCCGCCGCGGTGGTCTAGTGGCTAAGGTACTCGGCTGCTGACCCGCAGGGCGCGGGTTCGAATCCGGGCGGCGGCGGCTGCATTTCCGATGGAGGCGGAAATGTTGTAGGCCCGTGTTCTCAGATTTGGGTGCACGGTAAAGAACCCCAGGTGGTCTAAATTTCCGGAGCCCTCCACTACGGCGTCTCTCATAATCATAGAGTGGTTTTGGGACGTTAAACCCCACATATTAATCAATCAATCAATGTTCGGGTAACGAGTGTCACAACTTTCCGCAGTGAAATCGTTCATGACTACTTATGAAGATACGAAGAACGAGCGCGTAACATGTTCTCGAGTTTCCTTCCACCTCCCTTTTTTTAGCACTGATCCGCCGATAGCAGGAACGGAATCCCGGCCATGACGGCCGCATTTTCAATGGAGGCAAAAATCTTTTGAGACCCTTGTGCTTACATTTAGGCCCAGGTTAAAAAGAACCGCGGGTGCTCAAAACTTCCAGAGCCCTCGACTGCGGCGTCTCTCATAATCATATGGTGATTTTTGGGACGGTAAATGCCAATAAGTCTTTTTTTATTTCAGCATAATTCATGATGCCACATAATATTCAAGTTACGTGAATAAGAAATAAAGCCTCGATTGGGCTAGGGTACCAGTAGTGAGTTGTCTCCTACCTGGCCTTGCGATGCGGTCACCAACCCAGTCAACTTTGTCCCACATGTATTATCGCGCGCTATAATCTGATTTTTTTTTGTGTGTTTTCTACTGCACAAGCGGAAATAAAGGCGTTTAGCTGACAAGCGAGAAATCTCTATCGACTAAATGCGTAATTTACACGTAATTTATGATGAAATTTGCGACGAAAAGAAAACAGTGCCTGTAAAAATGAGTGGTGAAAGCGAGATAAAAAGCCACTTTTTCGTCAATCTGAAAGAGTGATTTAGAGGCAGGAAAAGTGCTCAACTCGTGCAACCTTCCATACAAGGTCCCAGGAACGCAAACAAAAAGGTATTTGTCTTTAGATTATTTTCTGTCCTCCCTACAAGATGCAGAGCATATAAAACTCGGTATCGTGTTCTGTATGTCTCCTGCAGCGTGTTAGCAGGGGACATTCGATTAGCTGTAAAGCCATCACCTTCACAGATGTATAGACACATCCACTGCTAATCTCTTATTAGTTCCTGTTAGACCAGAGCGAACGATTTATTGCATCTCGTGTAACTGAAAGAAATGTCGACGTGACCATTAAATCAAAAGAAAGCCACTCGCCTGAATCGGTGTTTTCTGCTCACGGGGTGGATCGCTGTAGTAGTGCATCGGGCTGCAGTTTGTCCTGAAGACGAGATCAGCATACCAGAGCGCAGAGTGCTCGTCGCCATCGAGGTCAGAGCCTGCATCAGTCTATAGAGAAGTGCTTTGTTCAAAACTGAAAAAAAAACAGATTTGGTGCCTTACGGGTAAGCTTTACAAGCGGTATTATTTATAAGTATATTAGGCAACCTAGCCAAGCACGATACAATCAACTTCGCACACAGTTCTGCAGGATTGCGGGAAATAAGTGCATTGACCACTTTCTGTGTCAAGCAAGTTCTCAAGTAAACACCTCTACGCTGAATGACTGGTATGATGGTAACATGCAGTCTTTCTTCATTAAGTGAAGCATCAAAACGTAGAGAGCTTGATGAAGCACTGCAGTCAAGTTTTCTTACGAGCTACACACGAACCTTTTCCTTTCTAAGTGTCTTTCCAGGTAACCAGTGCTGTATGGTCCGTACAAAGTTTATTCAAGCACTCAACTCGGATGGAACGGCTCATCGGCAGCGACGCGACGACAACGCCTTCTGCTGGCGCTTTTCAGCTTCCTATATATCGCGATGCACAGTGCTCAACTCGGCTGTCTATAACGACGAAGCGTCGTGCGCGAACCATCACGGGCGACATCTGCAGGTGCGAATTCGCCACATCTGACCATGCGCGGCGCCAGTGATGTACCTGCCTCGCAATACTGGTCCCTGTTTATTGCCGCGGATGCAACAATAGCTCTGGCCATCGAAAGCGCTCTGAGCAATTTCGCGAACAAAAAACAAGAAATACGAAGTAAAACCATTGTCGCTGCGATATGATATCAGGAAGCAAGAAGATTTCTTTTTTGTGTTTTATTTCAATTTTGTAATGTTGACAATGTTGACAGTGATTCAACGGCCAAAGCAGGCATCGCGGTCGCGGAGAAAAAGAAGGGTAGAAATTGCAGGGCAGGCAGTGACAGCATGGCGCCTACCGATGGCGGTAATAACAACGTCCAAACCTCGACACGAGCTCTACATCTGCGTTAACCATTGGCGCTGTTTCATCAGAGCAAAGTACCTTAATGCAGCAAATTCAGCAGTTCGTCCGAGAAGAAGTGGCGCGCCAATTGTCTCTTGTGCCGCATGTTCCGGCCAGTACGCACACACTGTCCCCAACGCTCCGCAAGACAATCGAAGAGCAAGCTTCTGATGCCCTGTCTCCTACATACCATCCTTTGCCTATCTCCGCCCCTCTCACTTACGCTGAGGCCGCCAGAGGATCGCCGCCGTCGCTATCATACGCCACGGATTTTGCTAGACAGCCCCGTCCCATCTACGCTGCAAGTCCCCCTGTCCATCCCCAACCACCTCCTGTTCGCCACGCCGCGCTACCATCAACCCTTGGCGCACTCCGGACAACAGGCCGATTTGCTACTTCTGCCATCTTCCCGGTCATGTAGCACGCTAATGCCGCCGTCGGGATAATAACCCAACTGCTGATGAGGCGAATCACGGTTATTGTCTAGAGCCACCACAGTCGTCTTCGTTCCATTCACGTCGAAACAGTCACCACCACGTCGCCGCGGCTTCGACAGGGATCGGTTGCCCTCACCACGGCGCCGTTCGATTTCTTCTATGCTTCCTCGATCAGCCCCACCCAAGCGGAAAACTGACCATCGCAGTTCCCGAGGCAAGAGCTGCACATATATCAAATCTTTCAAGGCCTCCGTTTCTACCTGCTAATGATAATATAATAATATCTATATAGTATATATATATATCTATATATATTATAAACCCGTTAAGAATGGCAAGCACTCGAACTGTGCAGCAACACCTTGAGCAGAAAGTTGCGCACGAAATTAGCACACACAGGAAGAGCAGAACTAACTCTGTAGCATCCGACACTAAGCAAGCTTACAAACAGAAGGACGCAGACAGAGCACACACAAAGAGGCGCCAACAAGTGTCCCAATTTTTAATGAGTCATTGGTCAGCAGAGCGCTCCTTTTGTAAGTCGGCCGTGGCGCGTGCGAAGGATTGTCCTCTCCTTAATTACGAGTCTTATGAGCGCGCGCATTAGAGAGACGGCGCTTCGTGGATGCGAGAACAGAGTGCGCCCAACGTGAGGCCGTCAAGCCATACCATCACTGATATCGAAAACGCATTTAATTTTGGAAGTTCTGAGGACTGTGAAACTATCGTGCCAGTAGCTTTTAGACACTATAGTAAAACAGTATATGATGTACATTACTGGCTTGCATTGCAGGCAATGTAGGCTCTCCGCGTATTGTTCGCGCCACGCTTTGAGGAACGAGAAGTTGCTAGTTCGATTCCGTGTGGGAGTTGCTTGCCTACTGGTTTTTTTATTTGCAGTCTCTTGGTATAATTTTCAATGTCACTTCCCTGACGTATGTACGTCAGTGCAGGCACGGTAGACCCCGGCATAAAACACTTTCCTGTTAAAATGAAACCACGCGTGGTAATCTGCCCCAAGTAATTAATGTCTCGTATACAGAAGCAGCTAACGGACAACATTGCCTTTAAAGGCGATCATATTATTGGCAGTGGCTGCCTAATTTCCTGTGAATGTTCACCGACATGATGTGTTGCGTTACTGATAGATGTTAAAACGTTTTACAAATATTTTTTGCACACCAATGATCACGAGGATGCCCTTTTTGCACTGATAAAGGAGTTCATATTTTAAAGGTTTCTAATTAAGATGCTTCTTTATTGCGTCATTCAGTCGAAACTGGTGAAACATTCAGAGCTGATACCCATGCATCGGAAGGGTATTATAAACTTACGAATGTACGTTCTTTGTTCATTGACTATGTGCTACAATACGGACAAATGTAAACCCACCGGTTACTGAGGCTTTTTTTAGGCGTCACAAAACTACGTGTACGCCATTTCGGAGAATTAGTATTATTACTCTCTTGGACTATTTCAGAACATAGCATCCAGGAAGACACACCCCGGCTGTATCTTCGTTCACCCATCAGGTAATAAAATCATATTTGCATACCGTCTCACCCGCGTAAAGTCTCTCAAATGCTGTTTACCTACCCGGGCTCACTACGTTAAATATCAACTTTCCTTTTTCGACAGACGTAGCGAGAAGGTAATGTCATTCCTTCTAGCGTCGGGCTCAACACAGACCAGGGTAGGGATTCAAGCTTGTGGTTTGGTCATACTTGGACAGGTTGAACGCACAAAAGACACGGACCATAGGAATAGGCGTACACACACAGGCGCTACTTACAACAGTTTGTTTCCTTCTCCTGCCGACTGATATACCTGCTTTGCGCACGGTAGTCAAGTGAAAAATAAATAATCATGTTTTTAACGAAGAAAAAGTATCGCCATTGAATCCGAGGTGGAAATGCCTCGAAGAGACAGCTACTCAGTATGCAAACGCGGCTCACAGAAATGCATTCAACACACCATGCGCAGAAACGGGTATTTATTCGTACTCGTAGGTAGAGAGGGCTTCTAAAAGGATGCGTCACCAAGCCTCATTCACAAGCGGAGAAAATCGATATTTTTGGTGACTACAATGCGTTAGCAAACCCGCACTCGTTGCGAGTACCTGTAAACCTGAAGCCAATATCCTAACGAGTATTGTTCTTCATCCCGACTTCCTCAGCAATTTGACTATCACGTTCGTGCACGAGGCTAAATATACAACCACATTACGCTTGTATTCGGACATTCGCATTAAGAAAACACTGCTTAACGTCCTCAAAAGTCTATACATAACGCCCTGTGTACGTATGACGATTATGTGAGAGCGCGGACTCACACCGGTAATTCGAGAGAAGCAAGGCTTTCACTGTGTAAATACGTATAGCCACGTGCAGCTTGCGTTTCAACAGCTGCCACCACTACAGTTCGATACAGCTTTAGGAGTCAGCGGCATTTCCTCCTCAAAGGACCCCTGAATGCGCATATTCTGTCTCCAGGCTGAGATTGTGAGCCAGATGGCTGGTGACCCCACCTTTACAAAACACTGCCACACAGTAAGCTGGCTCGAGCTGGTCGTTTCTTGTACTCGACAATACCTGGGTGAAAGCGCGATGCAGAGAAGCGTGCACACGTAAAGGCAAGGCGTGCTTACCCGCCATCTCATCTGGATGCGGTCTGTCTCCCTTGGCCGGAAAGACAATGCAGTCACGCACGTGGTGCAGCTGGGGCACAGTTCACAGCGGTCAGCTTGCGGATGTCACCGGGATGCATACACGGGTTCTTCGTCACAATGACGTCACCTGCAAGCATATCGCCGGTGACCGTTGTGATAGTAATATAGCGTTCCAAAAGATGGCAAAGAATGACTTTGGAAAGAACGTGGAATTAGTATTCGATCATTGAACCCTGTTTCATTCCGTTGGTAAAGTGGTTGCTGGGCTCAGTTGCTGCTAGTAAGGCGATTGCAGATTGGATCCTGTCCGGGGCGATAACATTTCGGCAGGTGCTGCGTGCCAAAAACGCGTGTACTGTGCGAAGTCAGGGAAAAGAATAACAGATCGTTCAAATTTCGGGAAGCCTCCACCACGGCGAGCCTCAAACATTTCGTGGCTTTGGCTCGTAAAGCACCACATAATTACCCATCGCGGAATCGAACGACAGGCTTCTCAGTCTACGGAAACAGAATCAGGATGGTCACTGCGCCACAGATATCTGCATTAGCGGCGCGAACGCGAGATGGCTCTGCGCTTCCTGCTCTCGCAGTGTCGTAACAATGTAGTTTAAAGCATGTATGCATTTTCATTCACGGCGCATTAGTATTTCAGACCTAGTTGCCTCCGCAGGGCATCTTAAATGCACAGCAGCATTGTTGACACGGTACCAACTGCTCCAAAAGAGTGATAAGGAGGGCTAGTTGGCATGTCTCGCTTCTTTTGCGTCGCATTATGTCTAGCGCTTCACCACAACAGCCACATTACTACGCGAGTGTTCCTTATGCGTCCTCATTCGACCAGCAAGAGGTACGCTAGTGGAAAGCACAACGCACTTACTCGTGTCTGTGCACGAAGTTAGGCACTGAGTTGCCGCATGACAGCCAGAGACCCGTTAGTAACGTGTCTTTCCAGGGGGGGGGGGGACGAAATGCAATTTTTCGACAATGTTTTTATTTGTCTTGTAAGGCTAGTTATTTCGTTCCCTGCTAATTTGGAACAGCGAATGCTTCTCTGGTCCTAAGAACATCTACGATATTCAATATCATATTGAGAGGATGCTTCTTTGGTTCCAAGAACATCTATTTTATTCAATATCATAATGAGATGGTATCTGTAAACTTTACTCGGTTAGTTAAAACGGTACACAAAGGACCACAAATGTACGACGCAAGTGAGTGAAAACGACGTTCGCGGACAACTGAAATGACCACGGACCTTCGGAAAGGCGTGGTCTTTGTCCACAATCGTGCCGCACTCGTGAGGTCGGTGACCATGGCTTCCGAGGTTGTGGGAAACGTGTTCTATTTTCGACCTTACTTGGGGTACAATTGAGGCATGAGCGAGCCAACTGATGCGGCGCTCAGCAATGTCGCTTCAAATCTAAGCAGCGCCCGTGCCTTCAGAACAGCAAAGATGATATGACCGTATCTATAGCAGCTGCAGCACTCAGTCTCATCGTACTCACTTCAACCAATGTCTGCGCGCTGTCGAAAGGTGGAAGCTGTTGAAAAGCTTCAGCTGCTTCCCCCGATACTGGCATCAAACTTACTGCCTACTCCACATTTCATTGTCCGTTGCCAGCCAATCTTTCGGCAAAACAATCATCGTAACCTCCACTTGGCTGAGTTTGTGGGGACGGTACGTAATAAGGAATGAATGCAAATGGCCTTTCGGCTCAAGACGGGGAAGCTTTGAGCCGCGATCACATCGTCAACGAACACACGAATCACAAAAAAATCAGCGCTGACCTTATGCAACGTCAATAACAAATTTACCTTAACATCACAAAAATGAAGAAATATTCATGAAACAGAAGCGCATCTGCTTTCATACTTATAACCATGTGCGCCAACAGAAGTTTTTCTTTTGCATATAAGCTATATATATATATATATATATATATATATATATATATATATATATAATGAGAGAGAGGAGGGGGGGAGGAAGAGTAAGGGTAGGAAATGAAAGGAAGGGAGGTCAACCAGACGCACGTCCTGTTTGCTACCCTGCACTGGGGGAGGGGGTGAGGGGATTAAAGGAGAAGAAAGAGAGAAGTGAAGGGCAACGTGTGTGCAGATGTGACCTTGTTCATTGCACGCTTATAAGCGGTCGCGTAGTCCAGTCGTCTTTAGAAAACTCAGCACTGCCCGCGTCGCTTTGCTGGCCTGCGACGCATAGAGCCATGAACCAACGATCTTCTCTTCGGAAAAAGGTCTACTGTCCAGTGTCTTTAACGTTTCGCGTAGCAAGTTTCATTCGCTCGCAAAACGTTTACATGAACACAGTAGATGTTCCATTGTCTCGTCAGTGTCGCACGATTAACATCGGGAGATATCCGCCATTCCTATGCGAAAGGAGTACGCCTTTGTAAAAGCTACTCCATAAAGAGGTTTTTCCAATAGGCCAAATGTAATTGGGAAGAGAAGAGACAGCTTGGCAGTTGCCGTAATTTTACCGGTCGAAACTGTTAATATTGTTACGAGTACGGCATTTTTCGACGCTGACAATGCTCACAAGCGGCGACATAGCGTCGAACAGAGCGGGCAAGTTCAGGCCAAAAAAAACCGACGTCGTACCTGATCATATGTGCAAAAAACACCCAAATGGCCCGTCATGAGAGCGTCATGAAGTTGATGCAGGACAGTGGAACGCAGGTGCGCTGAGATGACAGGAAGTAAGTCTGATCCGAAGGAATCAAGGTTACGGCGATATAAGATCCCGTCTTTCACCAAAAACATTCCTAGAGACGGGTCGCGAGGCGTTGAGTCCAGTTTGTCAATGATGGCTCGTAAAGAAGCATCCCGACGTTGCTCTTCGCCAATGTTCAACAGCTGCGACACGCAAAAAACGTCCGTGATAGCGTCAGTATCGGTTGCTTCGTCAACAGGGTAGCAGGATAAACCATCCGCATTCTGATGTAAGCGCCCTGTTTTGTACATTACAGAGAGCGTGCACTCTTGAAAGCGTAGAGCCCAACGAGCGAGACGTCCCGTGGGGTCCTTCAGGGAGGCTAGCCAGCAGAGTGCGTGATGATCCGTGACAACACGGAATGAGCGCCCGTACAGGTATGGACGAAACTTGGCGACTGCCCATACAAGGGCGAGGCACTCGCGCTCCGTGATGGAATAGTTGCGCTCGGCTGGAGATAGCAGTCGACTTGCGTAGGCTATAACACGGTCGTGTCCCTGTTGTTGCTGCAATAGCACAGCTCCTATGCTGTGTCCACTGGCGTCCGTGTGAACCTCGGTTGGTGCTAATGGATGAAAGTGAGCCAAGATTGGTGGCGTTGTAAGCAGTGTCGTAAGTTGCGAAAACGATGACGGTTGGTCATGGCCCCAGGTAAACGAGGCGTCTTTCTTCAAGAGGTCTGTGAGGGGGCGTGCAATGGTCGCAAAGTCCTTAACAAATCGTCTGAAATATGAGCACAACCCCACAAAACTGCGGGCATCCTTTGTGGTCCTCAGAACGGGAAAGTTCGTGACTGCGCGAATTTTCTCTGGTCTGGACGCACGCCTTAGGCATCGACAAGGTGACCGAGCAGAAAAATTTGACGACGAGCGAAGCGGCACTTGGAGGCGTTAAGCTGGAGTCCGGCTCGACGAAAAACGTCCAGAATAGCTGACAAATGATCAAGATGCGAGTCGAATGCGGGCGAAAAGACAATAACAGCGTCAAGGTAACACAAGCAGGTGGACTATTTCAACCCTTGTAGCAATGAGTCCATCATTCTTTAAAATGTGGCTGGTGCATTGCAGAAACCAAAGGGCATCACCTTAAACCGATAAAGACCATCAGGAGTGATGAATGCGCTTTTCTCGCCGTTTATCTCGTCGACGGCTATCTCTGCCAGTACCCTGACCGAAGGTCAATAGTTGAAAATAAGTGGCACCGTACAGGCAGTCGAGGGCGTCGTCGATGCGAGGTAAAGGATAAACGTCTTTTTTGGTAAGTTTGTTAAGGTGACTGTAATTGACACAAAAGCGCCATGTTCCATCTTTCTTTTTAACAAGGACGACTGGAGAAGCCCAGGGGCTGCATGAAGGCTCGATAATGTTTTTCGCAAGCATTTTGTTGACTTCATGTTGTAATATTGCACGCTCCGACGCAGACACACGGTAGGGGCGTCGGTGAATGGGAGTTGCATGGCCAGTATTTATGCGGTGGGTGACAATGGTCGTTTGGCCTAAAGAGTTGCTGGCAAAGTCGAAAATGCTACGATAGCCATCAAGAACATGGCAAAGTGCTGCAGCTTGCTCAGACGTGAGGTCTGATGACACCATTCGCTCGATGTCGGCGCCCCAAGAACGTGATGGAGTGGAACCACTGACTGAGCTGCAGCAATCATCAACTCTGAAGGGCTCAACATGGTCTTCTTGGAGAGCGGTAATTTTGGCCAGGGAGGCACCCTGTAGCAGAACTTGGGTGGCGAGTGAAAAGTGGACCAGAGGAACGAAGGTGCGGTTTCTCTTAATCGTCAGAATCATATGCGGCACAGCAACCCCATGCGTAAGCATCACGGCAGGAATCGGGGCCACCATGTAATCACAATCGGGTACTGGCGGCGTGGAGGATAAGTCGACATGTGTGACAGAGTTAGGAGGGAGGCGCGTGAAATCAATGCAGAAGAGGCTGGTTTGTGGTGGGGTGGTCGGGTCGGAAAAGAGGAGTAACTCGAGAGGGAGAGAGCCAGCTGAACAGCTTATGAGGACAGAGTGCGTGGTTAGAAAATTATACCGAGAATGAGTTCATGAGGGCAATGTTCGATAACGGCGAAAAGAACGACAGTGCTTTTTCCCCAATAGACACTCGCGCAGTGCACATGCCGAGAATCGCGTCAGTTTCTCCATCGGCGACTCGTACAGCTCGGTTGAGGGCGGGCGTGACAACTTTTCTAAGTCGGCGGCGAAGGTTAGCACTCATAATGAACGCATGCGCGCCAGTATCTATCAATTCACTGACACGAACATTGTCGACAGTAACGTCCAAAAGGTTCCGGTTCGTTGTTAACATTAATTGAGGATTTCTTACGAAGGTCGTCAACGCAGTTAAACCTCCAGAAGCTGCACGGCCTAGTTTCCCGGTCGGAGATGCTGCGAATAGGTCGGGGAGGCAGCGCGGCGTTGCGGGGGCGACCGAGACTGACGACGAGCAGGGGACATTGAACGGTCGTAGCGAGGTCTGCTCAGAGGTGCTGTAGGAGCGGAAAATGTGGTCGGCGTTGATGGAGAATGTGGTGGGGACGCCTGGCGAGCAGAAGTGGTGTTATACTGAGGTGCATAATGGGACGGTGGAGCCCAGTGGCTGCGGCCGTTACGAGCAATATGACCAACGCGTCGACAGTTAAAACATATGGGCCTGTCATCAAGAGCACGCCATTCGAACGGATTGCGTTGTATACGAGGCGCAGAAGGGGTACGATAAGAAGGCTCAGCAGAGTATACGGTAGGAACAAGATGTAGGCCGACATTCGATAGCTCTTGACGAACGACCGTTTGTAATAAAGATATCGTGGTCGGGGAAGGCGCAGACGTCGGTAATGGCGTGGGCACCGGTTGTGCTGCCTCGACCTCTCAACGAATGATGTGTGTAAGGTTGTCACATCGAGGGGCCTGGTGGAAGGAGTCGTCACACGAAGAAGTGGCCGCTGTGTTCGGAAGACGCACGATGCTTTGGGCTACGCAGCGGGCTTTAGCTTGTTCGAGACGCCGGCATTCTTTAAGAATTGTGTCGATGCTCGAGACGTTGTTGAAAACCAGCAGGTGGAAAGCATCGTCAGGAATTCCTTTCAAGACGTGGTTAACCTTTTCGTCTTCCGACATGCACTAGTCGGCCTTGGAACAAAGGGTCAAGACGTCAAGAATGTAGGAGACGTGAGATTCGGTAGAAGACTGGGCCCGTGTGGCAAGAGTCTTTTTCGCAGCAGCTGATGACCAGATGAATCGCAGAACAGGTCACCTATCTTTTCTTTGAAGAGATCCCAGCTCGTTATGTCGGCTTCGTGGCTTTCTGACCATGTTCGGGGAGTGCCGTCCAGGTAGAAAAGCACGTTGCCGAGCATGAGCGTGGGATCCCAGCGGTGAGTAGCACTGACGCGCTCGTACCGCTTCAGCCAAGTGTCAACATCGATCGTACCATCACCGGAGAAAGTGCCGGGATCCCGGAGGTGCGGAAGTGGGATGTAGGTGGTGGCTTGGACTGATGAGGGCGGCATAGAGGAAGTACCAGCAGTCGAAGCAGTCGAAAGGTCGCCGATGGTGCGACCGCTGCGCGTCTCCATCGAGGTACGTGGATCGTCCACCTCCACCAATAATGTTACGAGTATCTTGTTTAATGATCTATTTACAGCGCACAGAACTCGACGAGCAAGATGACACCAGAACTCACTTCGTTCTCCTCTTTCATGCAGCCGTGTTTAGCGGCTGTTATGTATGCATATATATATATATATATATATATATATATATATATATATATATATATATATATATATATATATATATATATATATATATATATATGTATATATATATAGTGCGTGCGTGTGCGGGCGTGAGAGAGAGAGAAAGAGAATTAAACAGATGGATGGATGGATATAGCTGTACCCTTTAGATCGGGCGGTGGCTAGCGCCACCAAGTCGTAATACTTAATGAACCAAAAACTAGATTTATTTTTTTTCTTTAAAAAGTGAGTTTGACGATTCGTACTTTGCAGTGAAGGGTTTAATTTTCACTCGTTCCTTGACTTTAGCCACCGATCAGATAACCTCCTTCTAGTTACGTCTACCCGCTTAAAGTCTATTTTGCCCTCCCAGTCCCTAAACCCCAGTGCTTTGAAAAACTCGGTGCCATCATCCTGAACTATAGGGTGAATCCCTTTACAGAACATTATCCAGTGTTCGGCAGTTTCTTCTTCCTCTCCACACGCACTGAATACTGTGTCTACCCCTTCGTATTTGGCCCGATATGTCTTGGTTCGCAGTACTCTCGTCCTGGCCTCAAGCAGTAGAGAACTACCCCGAGTATTATCATAGATCCTTTCCTTGGCAATTTCCTGCTTAAAGGTTCCATAGATCTCTAGTGCGGATTTCTTAATCATGCCCATTTTCCACATGTCAGTCTCCGTTTCCTTCACTTTCTTCTTAACCGATAGTTCTTTTTGGTTTGGCCACCTGCTGTTTTCTAAGTATTTAGCAGCCAATTTTCTGGTTCGATTCCTCCATTTTGTATCGACATTCTTCATGTACAAGTAGCTGAAAACCTTCCTAGCCCAACGCTCCTCCCCCATTTCTTTCAATCGCTTCTCAACTTGCTTTTATCTTGCTTCTAGCTTCCCTGCCCTCGAATGATGTCCATCCCATATCACCTTGTGCTCCCTGAATTGGTGTATTACCGTAAGCTCCTAAAGCAAGCCTGCCTATTCGACGTTGCTTAATTTCCAATCTTGCTTGAACTTCTGATCGCATGCACAAGACCGCATTGCCGAACGTCAGCCCAGGAACCATGACCCCTTTCCATATTCCTCTCCCAACATCATAACTATTGTATTTCCACAGTGCCCTATTTTTCATCACTGCTGCGTCAGAGTGAGTAAGAGGGAGTCAGAGTGAGTCAGCGCCACCTGGATGCATAGCGGCAAATGAGGCACAAACTTTATGAGCCTGTTTGGCGTGACGTAGCGTGTGAACTTATTACGAGCTGGTAGCTGACCAATAGTCCCTCGTATACAATCTGAAGGCACCCAGTCTGCGAGTACGAGATCCTCGTGAATGTAGTAAAAAGCGTACAGTTGAGGACTCGTTTTTCCGTGTTTCACACAATACTAATGAGGTCTAACAGGCAATGCCACGGAAAGTATAGGGGGAGTCAAATTCTAATGCAAATGTGAAGAAAGAAAAGTGTGTGAAAAAATGACTTGCCGTGGACAGGAACCGAACCTGTGACCTTTTTGTAAATTTTCGCGTGAAAAAAAATATGCATTACTGATAACCCCAACTTCATCGTCAAAGAAGGTTGCTGAGCTAGCTGGGCTAAGGAATATTGAAGCATTTATATGGCGCTTCAGCAAAATAATGATGAAAAATGCCACCTTGTTCATGAGGTTTCTTGCTTCAGAAAAATACATCAGCCCTGTTGAAGCACTTCTTCTATCAAGCCCTGCCGCGGTGTTGTAGTGGCTAAGGTACTCGGCTGCTGACCCGCAGGTCGCGGGATCGAATCCCGGTGGCGGCGGCTGCACTTCCGATGGAGGCTGAAGTGTTTTGGGCCGTTTGCTCAGATTTGGGTGCACGTTGAAGAACCCCAAGTGGTCAAAATTTCCGGAGCCCTCCATTATGGCGTCTCTAATAATCATATGGTTGTTTTGGGACGTTAAACCACACATATCATTCAAAAAACTGCTATCAAGCTGTGCCAGAAAGAACCACAATATTTTTCTTGATGCACGTGCACTACTAATAGCTATAGAATGGCGAAATGCATATTACTTTTTAGAGCATCCGTTGGCATATATTCACTGCACACAAACACAAAAAACACTGCTTCTGTGCGATAAACTCCGTTGAAGACCTACCTTATCACAGTCACCCCCCCCCCCCTTTTTTTTACCTATTTTGCCTAACCCTAGTGTGAATTCAACATAATTCACACATTTTGTGCACGTCTTTGGAACGATTCTTATCAAAGGAATCGTTCCTTTTTGTGGTGCGAAAAAATTATGTTTTATGCCGTCTCTGCATTGGGAAAGTATAGTGTTTTTGAGAGGCAACGCAAAGCTCATCGAGTTGGAAGACCCAAGGCACTGAGCCAAACGGTAATTGAAGGCAATGTGCATGCACGTTTTGTTTCTTATGTTTTTAACTATTATAGGGTGGAAGCTGTTGAAGAGCTACAGCTGCGGCTCCGCGATACTGGCATCAAACTTGCTGGCTAAATCCTAAGGCATGGCCAGTGGGAGCCATTATTTACGCAAAAAATGTCATGAAACGCACAAAAACAAACATACAAACGCATGCTGAATTCCCACAAAAAGTAATCATGCAACTCATCATGTCTTGGTTTCTAAAGCACTAAAACATTTTCAATACATCCGCCCTGGTGGGAAAGCTGTACCGGTACCAAGCTGCTGAACTTCAGCAAATCGGCGTCCATTCCGGCATCTCTATAAAAACCTATAGAGTCCTATAGAGGCTTTATGCTTGAGGTCTGAGTGCTACGCAATGTCAGCGCACATTGAAAAACCCTAGGTATTCGAAATTATCAGGCGCAGACAACTACGCCGTGCATATTTATTATATGTTAGTCCGTGATAAGGAACCGCGCACTAAACATTTTTAATGTCACTTTCATTAGGAATATTCAGCATTTACACCAGACAGATAAGTCATAATTTCTTGTACCACTCGACACATGAGCGGTCTGCATACATACGTTCTACAAACGCAAATACAAACGCATGTTCTACTCAAAGAAGCTACTGCGAATGCGTACTCGTATTACGGCATTATCAAAGAAGGCTCCTGTATGTCATGATTTACGGTGATCTGGCGAGGTACGTGCGTTCATGCTTTGGAGAATAAGAAATAAAAAAGGAAGATGACTTTTACAATCCATAAAGCAACCATTTGCCTCAATTATTTGCCCGGGATTGTGAGACACCTCCTCCCGTGGCCCTCTCGATTACAAGCATGTGCAGATATGAAAGAATACGGTGTAAGACGCTCCCAGAGAAAGTGCAGAAGACAAACCAATCTCTTCTGACTTACTGGAAAACCTAAAGTACTCAAATTAAAGGGTCACACTATACCTTCCAAGATCGTCGCAGGATCATTGAGCTTGTATCGCAGCATATCGTTCGAGTACTGTACAAACACCTGGCCGTACTTGAGTGTGCCCGTTTCGTCCAGCACGCCGAACATGGTGCGACCAAAGGCAGGCGGAACCAAGATGCGAGCCTTTGTCTTCAGTTCCTCTGCGAAAAGGACAGCGCGTCACTGGCACCACGGACACTTGGACGTAGAACAAAACCGGACGTAGAACAAAGCGTGCAACGCAATGTCGCCAACAACAATCACAGTCGAATACACGAGGGAGACTAGTGGCAAGTGGCCGTAAAAGAAGGAGGGAACGGTAAGACAGCTCGTTCAGCAGATATCGTGACAAGACACATGCCCGAAAACGAACAACTTATTCTAGTCAATATTAATGAGAACTGACAGGCAGTAATGCATAAGAAAGTTTAGGGGATATTATTCGAAGTTAATTGTGATGCAAATGTGAAGAAAGAAAGGTTTGTGAAAAAAATAACTTGCATTGGGTGGGAACAGAATCTGCGACATATTGCAGACAACACTGTACATATTATATGGCTGAGAACACTGTACTTACTCAGAGCCTTCCTGTTGACAGCACGGACTAACGCTCGAAAGAATGGCTCCACGGTGAGGTCGACGCCAACACCAGCAAGTTCCTTGTATGGAAGTCGCATTGCAGAATACGTGCATAGGACCTGCGCAGGTTTCAATGCATCAGACATGATTAAATGGTGACTATGCTATATAAGACAATTTCTAACGATTGTAACCATGTTTCTGCTACATAATTTATTGGGAAAAGTGTCGTAAAATGTCATGAAGCGGCGAAAGGTTAATAAGAATGCTTTGTGAAATATGTTTGCGCAGATAGTCCTGACTTGCTCATTCAGAGTTCATGCTAAGAGACTGACCATAATTACTACTGAGCAAATCTGCTTGCTCAACATTACGCGCACGCAGTCTGGGTATACCGATACACAAAGTGCAAACAGCAGACTGCAGTTTAAATGGCGTACACAATGCAGAAGATCAGTATTGACAACATATCAGAGTTCGTAATCGTGTCCATCGTCGGTTTCAGCCATTAGTAAGTATATGTGGACATGGTCTAACGGCAGTGTCTGTGTGCACGTCTGTGCGCGTCTGTGCGCGTGTGCGTGTGTGTGCTTCTGTGTACGTGCGGGTCGGTGCGTGCGCGTGCGTGTGTGTGTGTGTATTATGCGTGTGCGTATGTGAGTGTCACTTCATATGCAAGAAAAAGAGCAAAGATGTCTACCTGAGCGGCTTCGTGCGGGTCGAGCATACTGTCGATGAAGGAGTCGAGGATGTGGTTTTGTAGCGTGAGGAACACCTTCGCCCTTATGCCGCTCTGTTCAAGGATGGTGATCATGGGCCTGTTCAGGTACAGTACACCTTCGAGAGTACGTTCCGACCTCGGTATCTGTGACGCAAAGACCTACCATTTTAATTTACGTTGCGAGTCATTCCAGCGCGCTAGCATCGCTATATACCATATGCGTATCGTTTTGTTAGAGGATACTCGCGTAACTTGCAGCACTTGGGGATCGCAACGTAGCCCACATGAAAACGAATGCAACTTCTTTACCTAAGAAATGTTAGACACGACATATATTGGCATTGACGTCAGCGTAGTCTACGCGTCATTAATTTGTTCAATGTTTATTAACTAGTAAAGCCAGCAGGCTGAAAAAAATCTGCACGGAGAAGGCGACCGTTTTCAACACATACAGGCAATTGTTTCTTAGGATTCATTGAAGGATTACTCGAAGACAGCGAGGTTAGAATTTCATTAACCCTTTTATGCACACGCAAACGGGCCATGAAACGCATTCTTTTATCCTATTGTCTACTATATAGACGTTCACCAAAAAACAACAGCCCATTTGGTCCAGCGCTTATCTCCTTAATTTAATGTTTTTGCAATGACCTAAGCAGCCTGCCCACTGGCACACTCGCGCGCTGCTTGCTTTGCCACCATCTACATACCGGCGAAGAGTTTTCTTCAGTGGTCAGCTGCACATTAGGTTTTTTCTGCTTTCTTCTGCTCGGCATTCACATTGAATGATTCGTAGCAGCTGAATTTTAAAGATGGCTGCTTCGTTCCGCACAGCACTGGATGTCAGACACACCATGTCAATATGGCGGTCGCCGGCGGTGGGTGAAGTTCACAGTCGGGACATCTAGGCTTCATTTTCCACTGAACATATTCTCACAATAAATTTTGACACATTTACAGGCCCAGTGTACAAGCAACTTTTGCTTCTCACCGCAAACAGTTGGGTAACCTTGGCAAAACCTCCTTTAAAAACCATGACATGCAAACTGAAAGAAATAGCGGCAAACGAGTATGATCGTTTCAAAAGTTCAATGCAAACCGTCGAATTAGACGCGTTCATACGGTGTACAAGTGGAGCGCTTCTGCTACAAGTTGTTTTCTTTAGAATAGATTTCGAACACCTATTGATCGCAGTTAAATAGATACGCTGAACTGCACTGCTTATACTGCCGAGCCGAACACTAGAAACATATCACCTTAGACTTTTGGGGCGTTAAACCCCACATATCAATCAAATATCACCTTAGCCTGATAGAAGTATACAATAAAAGTGCACGCTGCGACTGTGCCGCAGCGTTCCGAATAATAAACAGTCTTCCAATGACTTTCTGTTCGCAACTGGCTGAGGGCGCTAGACCGAACTTCTCGGCCACGAAAAAACCCGCACCCATGCACATGCACATGCTCTGAGCATGAATTTGCACATGCTCTGACGAAAGACGATCCTTCGTCCGGCCAGCGTCGGATCGAGAAGCAGCATGCCCTTGCAACCGCCGTAACGAATCTGCACGGCGCAGGGTTCCTCGCCTTCCTCAAGTTCAAGAGCACGGTGTACCTGCGAGTCGAGTGGAAGCACGTGACTATGGCGACCTGCTGTGCAGATGGTACTTCACAGGTATTCACTAATTTACAGGATCACTTATTCTTTTTTCTTGTATTGTCAAAAAATATGTCTGCATATATGGAAGAGTATCTATCTAATTGTAGATAGTTTTGTGTTCGTGCTCATTCGGTGTATTGATGTAGTGATGTACTGAACTGGTACCGTTATTACTAGAGCTGTCAGTTATTGTTTACACGTGTGATTAGGCCAACATGTATTATGTGTTTTCATTTCTTGCAGTTGCCGCTGTCACCCGTTGTACTGGCGGTGCCATGAGCCTAGTTCTTATGTGAATAAGCACGCCTTTTGCTCCGGCACAATGACAATGCATGTTTCATGTTTTGTGAAAACTGCAAATAAACTTCAACTTGAATGTTAATTGGTAAGCCACTTGAACGTTCCATCGGTATATTTGCCGAGCGCTACTTGAGAAATGCTTAGAGAAAGCTCAAAGCACGCGTGTAATACCGACATGGCCGAACAATGATTTACTTCTTTTTGTTCAACTTCAGTATATTATTTAGCTTCTATTAAGAAATAGGAAGAGGGGGGTCAGTCTTTTTTACGGAAGGTGAGCGCGATCTGTGGGAAATTTCACTGCGTAAGAAAAAAGCGGAGATGACACAGGCGAGCGTCGTATTACACGTCTTAGCCAAATATGTGTATGTTCAATATAGCATGTGCATGTAGCTGTAGCATATTGGTAAAATATCTCTGCGGTTAGCATGTAATTATGCCAAGTGACTGAACTGTCCGAAGTCTTTGTATGAAACCGGGCCAATTTTCAGAAGCGACTTCTCTTAAAAAAACACTAAAGAGCAAAATGATTTTTCGTGCATTAGTAAAGTACACATTCACACTCCCGAAAACGCAATTCTTCCCGCCCCATGGCACTTAGAAGGCAAAACAATAGCTAAAATATGTGGCGACGTCACCTGAAGATTCCCGCCACGAACACCCGCTGTGTGAGGTAAGAAATTATGAAGATGTCTATACTCGGTCGTAACCTCCAATGAATGGAATACATTGGGATTCGCTGGCGCCATATACTTCGCATTTGAAGTTTCAGAGGATTCTATAGAGCCAATGCCACGACAATACCAAAAATACATTTAGGGACTTCTGGCGTCACATTCGGAGATTTCGGCGCGAAGTTCACAAATAAAACTGCCACGTTATTTTCACCGCTAATAATGAACTTATGATAGTGGAACATCAAAGTACAGTTTGTCAATGTAAACTAAGTCATTTGTTTTTCTTCAGTGTCCCTTTAAAGCTTTAAAGTCTCAGTAGAAACATACTAAATATTGAAACGTCACGTTCGAGTCAGGGGCAAGGGGGCTCAGTTGCTGACCCAAAAGTCGTGGTTTCTACCCCGGCCGCGATGGTCACATTTCGATGAAAGTGAAATGACAGAGGCCCGTGTGCAGTGCCATGTCTGTGTACGTTAAAGAAAAGCAGATGATCAAAATTTCCGAAACTCTCCCCTACAGCATCTCTCATAATCATATTATAGTGTTGAGACGTAGAACCCCGCAGGTTAATGAGCGTCACATTCACGTTAACAAGCCCCACCTACGGGGTTAATTACACACCAAACAATATCCTGATGGCCAATTCGTAGCACCACATCTGACGGAGTCGATGCGAGTTGTGACGCTACCTGCCCATGCGGTAGGAGTCCGGAGACATCTCTATTTTCTTTGTGCACATTTAGTGTACGTCACGAATTATTCCTATACGTGACCAGGTGACACACACGCATTGTCGAATCTGGTGACCAGCCTTTCACAGTGCGCACCGGTACAGGCATTTACGTGCTAAAATATTGAAGGATTTCTGACACTTTTTACCATGCACCTTCACGCATTTCCGGTACAGTACAATGGACGGTTCTCTATAGGACACCGGACCAGCGCCGTACCTTGCGCAGCAAGACGTGCGAGATGCGCCTGATGCCATCGCTAAACACGTACTCTCGCTGCAGGGTCTCTCCGGACCTGCAGGTCGCTATCATTTTCTTGATGTCTGGCTCAATGCTCGTGAACTGGCTTGGCACAGTAAGATACCCCAGCGACTGGGAGAAGGCCTGCGGGTTTCAAAGTGTCATGAGTACTTCGTCCCGTGGCTGCAACGCCTCCGCCTACCTGCCCAAGCCGTGCCATGAGCTTGGGAACGCTGTGGATTGCCGACAGATCACCGACACCCATGCGTATCGAGTCGGCGGTGCGGCCCTCCGTGTCTCGGGCGTAGAACCAGACACCGTGGCTTCGCAGCTGACTGGTCGAGCATCCCAGGAACACGAAGTGCCGGCCACCGATCTTCAAGCCGTGCGTTAAGGGCGGCTTGATGACCTGGAGATTACCCACGGGCAATCAGAAGAGTAATGCTCCTAGTACTACTTCTTCTAAGCCACGAAATTTTGTTTTATGAGCACGAAAAATATTTAAACATTGTTTATTTTAGCAAGAGCCTTACAACATATTCATCACGGGTATTTAAGTGCTTATGTTTAATATGTCTTCGACGTGCCAAATTTGAGGAAAATCACTTCACGTTCCGCTGCAGTCAAAGGGGATTTTTCGCGAGTCTCGAATGGTTGTGAACTTTTACGCTTACAATTTGGATCATCAAGTTAAAGTCATCCAGGTGACTTAGCTATTATCAATTATTGGTGTACGGCAGTGAATGATAAATAGCACATTCGATGGAAAACGCCCATGACGAGGCAACGCTTTCGGCAAACGACGAATTATGAACGAAATTCCCCCACTTGACGTCTCACCGGTTCTGAGGAAAGGCGCAGCGTGGTGTGTGCATTGCTTCTAAGACACGTACCGCGTTGACAAAGTCGTCCTTGCACGCCCCGAGTGAGAAAGACACGAGCTTGCAGTCGTCGTCACGCACCACAACACGCAGCGCGAACTCGGTGTCGAAGTGCTGCAGCAGCCGGCTCTTGCAGACCAGCTGCGGAGGCAAGTACACGCGTCGGCTGGGCGTCAGAATCACCTTGCGCACTTTCACCATGTTATCGGGGAACTCCTGGGCAATCACCGAGCCAGTGAAGCCGCCCTGGCACAGCCGGTGACCCAGGTAGCGGGTGTACAGGCTATCCAGTGCGCTTCTGAACTCGAACACCTGCGCAAGGTGGTGAACGGTTCGCTTTCTGGAAAACGGAAGGAAAAAAGCACAAGAGCCTTCCGTATTTTAGCCTTCCTTACAGAC